TTCTTGGAATGTTAATGTTGTGCAATACTTTCCCCTATAAATCACATTCAGATAGTACATCGCCAGCAGCTTCACGATCATCATAATCATCGTCATCATGATCTTCTTCTCCCTCTGAGGCGAGTGTGTTTGTCTAAAACGGCACCTCCTCAAGGAATGACTGCGCCGCCTCCGGAATGGATAACTTCTGCGCCTGTTTCGTTTCCTCATAGCGAGCAAACGCGCCCTGCTTGTCTTCAGTCTTCGTCTTCTTCAGCTCGGCGACCCTCTTCTTGTACTCGTCACGCAGATTTTTCATAAAACCCAGGATCTCGTTGCCATTTTCGACACCTGCTTTCGGCTGCGGCTCAGCAACGGCTTCGGACTTAACGACCGCCTTGAAGTTCGAGGGCCGTCTCTCAATCTTGTGAATATCTAGTACTAGAATGCAACGAGCTCGTAGACCAAAGTGCGGCTACTTAAATATTTCATCTCGAAAATGAGTGTTTCCAACTAGAAAAGTTTTTTGACTTCTTTCGCACCAGACTGCTTTTCTTGATTTGGAGATAAGACGTCTCAGCTCTAGCCTTAACGTCAGCATTCTTCTCGGCCTCGAAGTACAATTTCACAAGCATCGAAGCCTGCTTAGGTTAGCGCTGTCAAGTATCCATCTGTAGTTGGCTGTATCTCTGTGATCTGTTGTAACTTTCACGTGGTGGTGGAATACTGTGCTTACAGGGATACAGTCAGAGATGAGTTAGTGCTAACCGCCTTAATTTTCATCCACCGCGTGCGTTAGATCTTCCAGATATCGGACTGCTCTGGTGAATGACTTAGAGGGACTCACAAGGAGAAGAACGCATCTTCATTCCATCCAACTGCGCGCCTAGATCCTCTTCTGAGACCTTTTCTGTTATAAGGAGAGCAACGGAGAAGAATCTAATTCACACCGGTGGTGGCGATGAACAAGCCATTCTCGTGAAGAAGGCGGGCATAACCGAGCTATGAAGGCCATCGAGCAGACTGAGAAGTTCTGGGTTAGCCTCGTCCATCTTCTCGTCGGCAGTGGCAAAGTCATCATATATCTGATTAGAGTGCATCTTTGGTTCCACGAGTGCCCGGCTTGTACCTTTTTGCTTCCAATAGAAAAAGGTGAACCAAGAATCTTGATACTGAGGACATGCTTGAAGGGTGGCCTTAAGCTGAGTCAGGACCTTCGAAAGCTCGAGTTTTTGCTTCTCTAGCCCCTTTGGAAGCTCGTCCTTGGCCGTCATAAGCGCCTTACCTGCGACGCAGCGTTAGAGCACTCTCTTGATCAAGATATAAAGCTGGGAGGAAAAGGCATTCTTGAGAACAAGGAGTGAACAGACTCAAACACTCATGCTGATAACAAAAATCAAACGAGCTACTTGATGGTAACGATCGAGATGATGTGTCATATAGCTGCACAACGTGCTGATGCGGTGAGTCCCAAGTAGGTCTGTACATTATGAGATCATGCATTTTTGTTAAACAGATGTACTGTAGCTGCTGGGACTTCTTAACTCCCTTTATCGACGAAATCCAACTGCATCGCCTCCTTTATTGGTTCCTCGAGCTTCGGTATGTAGATGTTGAGTACTGTGTAAGCACTTTGCCGAGCAAATTTAGTTTCTAAGAACTCCTTTGCGTCCAGAGTAAAGAAGCTGTTCGCGACATTCTCACCCAGTTCCTTTTTGTATGATTCGAGTGTATTTCTCGACTCCACCAACGAAGATTTCGCTCTCTCTGTTATGTCGTACATTAGAGTCTTCTCGCGGAATTCAGAATAATACGAATAATACTTGTTGTAACCGCTTTATTGTCTTTCTTAGGAGATTTTGTAGATCATGGAAAAAGATCCTCCTCTCTGCCTGTAGTAAAGAGGTGCAATCTAGTGTGGATGAGCAGAGACTTAATGGACATGGGGTGATGAGCAAGACGTGGAAATGAAACGGCGCCACTTGGTAAAATGGTGTCACTTTGTGAAGATAGTCTGTCTTGTCATCTGGAGGCCTGCTCAGTGGTTATGAGGGCATGATTAAAAATAGTCGCTAACTTCGAAAATTTTCATGAAGCATAATTTGAGCAGTTCGATATACGCGGTATCGAAGTCCTCCAAGTATTCCGCGGCCTTTTTCGAGTATTCTTCGCCCGATTCCAGCTTCTCTTTGATTAGGGCGAACCCACAAGAATCTTCTGTCATCTTCTAGTATTAAGAAGGTGGTCCTCGCTTTCTTAATAGAAAAGGCAACATGTTGAAGGAAACGAAGGTAAGCATAGGAAAGGCGAAAATAAACTATTTTGAGCCTTAATGCGAGTGCCTCCGGCTTTGGCACATCCTTAATTGCTTTGAGCGAAGACAGCAGCATGTTGCGATCCACTTGCCGATCGTCCAACTTCTCCAGCAGCTGGATTAGAGACTACGGCAATAGCAAGTTCTAGTACCGATAGAAATAGCAATAGGAAGCTGTTCTATGCTAGTTTGCGATTAAGCAAAGTAGTACCATGTATTTCATATTCATAGCCAAGATGTTGAAGAGTAAACTTGGTCCGCCCTCCCATCCCTAAGATGTAGGTGAGTTGCAATTTTATCCAAAGAGTGTTGTAGAAGATTGATTTACACGACCTTAGTCCTGGGTGTAGATGAATGAAATAACCCATGAGCATTGAGAGACAAGACTTATTGAAAAAGATGCCCCATCTTTACAATTCAGAGGCGCTTTCCCTACGACTGCTGCGAAGATGTCCTATCATCTTCCTAGAGAAAAAAGTATACTATATCCTAGATCTTAGAGACATGGCCCTCTACCGTATACGGATGGCACCCCCTTTAAACTAATGAGACGAAATCCAGACTATACGCACCACTGTCATCTTCAAAGTCTAAGAGGTATCTAGATCATAACCGAAGATCATCGTCGTAGCCGTACCGTGGGTCGAACCTATCCTTGTGAGATGGGTCCAACCTATCCTTCCTCATTTGTTGCAGGTTGAGTGTCTCAGCCTTGACACGGTTGCCTTTTTGCTTCAGATCCTGGATCCTCTCATCGAGTTGCTGCATTTTTGAAGAAAGCAAGTGGAGGCTCATTTTCAAAGAGAACAAGCGGAGGCGGAATGTCATGTCATGGCACCTCTTTCGTAGCTATTTATGTGGAATGGTCTATTTTGAGTGGGAAAAACCAAATATGATCTTCTGGTCCTTTTGTGTTAGAAGAATAAGTAGAACTGTTCTTGACGAAGAAAAGTGATCTTCTGGTCCTTTTGTGTATAGTGATGAAATCTTAGACATTGATGCAGTCCACGTATTATTAAAGCATATACCGTAGCAGTCACCTGGGCCTTCGGTTTCTTGTCTCCCGGCTCCTCCGCAAACGGCCATTCCGCCTTCGCCTTTTCCGCAATTTTCGCCTCCGCCTCTTCCTGCTTCGCCTTTTCCGCCTCCGCCTCTTCCTGCTTCGCCTTTTCCGCCCTTTCCGCCTTCGCCTGCTCCGCCTGTTCCTGCTTCGCCTTTTCCTGCTTCGCCTTTTCCTGCTTCGCCTTTTCCTGCTTCGCCTTTTCCTGCTTCGCCTTTTCCTGCTTCGCCTTTTCCTGCTTCGCCTTTTCCTGCTTCGCCTTTTCCTGCTTCGCCTTTTCCTGCTTCGCCTTTTCCTGCTTCGCCTTTTCCTGCTTCGCCTTTTCCTGCTTCGCCTTTTCCTGCTTCGCCTTTTCCTGCTTCGCCTTTTCCTGCTTCGCCTTTTCCTGCTTCGCCTTTTCCTGCTTCGCCTTTTCCTGCTTCGCCTTTTCCTGCTTCGCCTTTTCCTGCTTCGCCTTTTCC